AGAAACAAAATGTAAACAGTGGTTATCTGCTGCTGTGGAATGCATCAGGTGGATTTTTGATTGGCCCATCTTGGATGTTTATAATTAATGGCCACTCAAGGCCGAGCTATCTCAGACAGAGTCCGAGAGAGCTGCCTTTGTTATCATTCCTTTCTATTCTATTCTTAGCCGGCCTTCTGAGAGGAAACCCTTCCTTCTATTCTTTTTAGTTAGTTATAATGTAATATATAGATCATGAAATAATAAATCAAGCCTTCTGAACATGGAGTCAACATTCTCATCTCTTCCCTCACCTGAAGACCCCTGTGACCACTGTCACAAGTAGGAACTGCTGAGTCACGATGAGACAGCAAAATAAGCTCCTGTCTCTGCCCCCCGCCCCTTAGCCTTATCTTTGTAACCTCATAGGCCACTATACCGAACCCTTGCTGTTGGACAAGTTTAGATCCCCCTACACCCTATAAAAAGGGGCTGTTTTAGCCCATTCGACAGCAGAAGAGCTGTCACTGGAACCCTTCAGTCTCCTCAATAAACCATTGCTGTGGAACACCAGGACTTCTCCTCTCTCCCATCTGCCGCAGCCTCAGCCAAGGGCACCCCGGCGAGCAAGCAAAGAGCTGAGATCCTAAGAGAGCTGATATCACCAAAGAGCTGACAATCACCGAGCTTGCTAAAGGGCAGCCTGTGGCGAGGGCCACGAGCTAACTGGGCATTTGAGCACTCTGTCTCCCAGAGGGACTGAGCTCCCGGGCGATCTTGCACTGCTTGATAATAAGGCCAGACCTGATAGAGGCTTTATTATGAAACAGCAAAATAAACTCCTGTCTCTGCCACCTGCCCCTTAGCCTTATCTTTGTAACCTCGTAGGCCACTATACCTAACCCTTGCTGTTGGACAAGTTTAGATCCCCCTACACCCTATAAAAAGGGTTGTTTTAGCCCATTCGACAGCAGAAAAGCTGTCACTGGAACCCTTCAGTCTCCCCAATAAACCATCGCTGTGGAACACCAGGACTTCTCCTTCTCCTCTCTCCCATCTGCCGCAGCCTCAGCCAAGGGCAAGCAAAGAGCTGAGATCCTAAGAGAGCTGATATCACCCTAGAGCTGACAATCACTGAGCTTGCTAAAGGGCAGCCTGTGGCGAGGGTCACGAGCTAACTGGGCATTTGAGCACTCTGTCTCCCAGAGGGACTGGGCTCCCGGACCATCCTTGCACCACTCAATAATCAGGCCGAGATGGAGGCTTTGTTATACACCTCACCTTGTCGAAGCACACCAGGCGGATCTTCCCACACAGGTTGATCCGCGGGGGGCTGA